GAAAAAAATAGAACTATTTTTAATTTAATATATTTTTAAAAATACTATTATTAAAGAATCCTATGTAAAATACAATAAAATTTTTTGTTTTTTAGAAAAAAATAAATGGATCGAAAAAATTTTTTTTATTATGTAAATGTTTTTTTTGTAGATAAATTCCAACATAATTAAATGACAAATATATTCGCTTGAGATATTTTCACTCAAAAATCCTATCCCACCTTTCCACCTTAAATTGTAATATTAATATTAAATTATAAAAAAAAAAAAGAAAATATCCAAAATAACCTTATATATATATATATATAAAAAAAACTATGTATTCTCGCCAAATTCTGCTAATAGATCTTCAATAGTAAAGTCAAATATACCTTGTCTATTTGGATTTCCTTCCTCATTATTTTTTATAGTATTTGGAGCTCTTGGAATTTTTTAGGGGTGAATTCATTCTTTTTTTTACTAACCTCCTCTTTTTTTTTTAAGGAGCGGATCTTTCATTTTTCGGATAGGAGGTAAGTTTTTCTTGGAGGCTCTTGAGATTTCTTTGGGGTGGATTTCGTTCTTTTTTACTACTTTCTTTTCTTTTTTTAGAAGCGGATCTTTCGTTCTTCTTCAGATAGGAAGTAAGTTTCTTTGGGCTCTTTGGGGTGGATTTCGTTCTTTTTTTTTTACTAACTTCTTTTTTTAGAAGCAGAGCGATCTTTCTTTATTCAGATAGGAGATAAGTCTTCTTTAGGGGTTCTTGAGATTTCTTTGGGGGTGGATTTTGTTCTTTTTTTTACTAATTTCCTCTTTTTTTTTTTAGGATCAGATCTTTCTTTCTTTTTCAGATAGGAGGTAAGTCTTCTTTGGAGGACTCTTGGGATTTCTTTGAGGTGGATTTCATTCTTTTTTACTAACTTCCTCTTCTTTTTTTAGGAGCAGATCTTTTGTTCTTCTTCAGATAGGAGGTAAATTTCTTTGGGCTCTTTGGGGTGGATATTGTTCTTTTTTTTTACTAACTTTCTCTTTTTTTTTTTAAAAGCGGATCTTTCTTTCTTTCTTCAGATAGGAGGTAAGTCTTCTTTGAGGGCTATTTGGATTTCTTTAGGTAGATTTTGTTCTTTTTTTATTAACTTCCTCTTCTTTTTTTTAGGATCAGATCTTTCTTTCTTTCTTCGAATAGGAGGTAAGTCTTCTTTGAGTGGATTTTGTTCTTTTTTTTTACTAACTTCCTCTTCTTTTTTAGGAGTGTATCTTTCTTTCTTTCTTTGAATAGGAGGTAAGTCTTCTTTGGAGGCTCTTTGGATTTCTTTGGGTGGATTTTGTTCTTTTTTTACTAACTTCCTTTTCTTTTTTTTAGAATCGGATCTTTCTTTCTTTCTTCAGATAGGAGGTAAGTCTTCTTTGAGGGTTCTTAAGATTTCTTTGGGTGGATTTCATTCTTTTTTTTATTAACTTCCTTTTCTTTTTTAGGAGCGGATCTTTTGTTATTCTTCGGATAGGAGGTAAATTTCTTTGGGCTCTTTTGTTATTTATATATCTATTAAATCCATATTATTTTCTTATAATTTATAAGAAAGAAAATTTTAAACTGATAATT